GATGCTCCTCATGAAGGAAGGAGGAAGGAGGAGATGAAGGAGGTGAAGAATAAGGTTGCTCAACATGACAACCGCCTGTCGGAAGCTGAAACCCGAATCGAGAAATCTGAAACCCTAATTGACCAAGTGAACAATCGGGTAGACCACGTGATGGCTGACGTGAAGAAAACGCTGGACTACCTCAAACTGGGGGATGGAGTCACAGCTCCTGTAGTAGCTACAACACCTTCGCTACGTGGGTTCAAAGTGCCGCCGTTCGACGGAACTTCTTCCTGGTCGGCCTACAAAATCCAGTTCGTGGCTGTCATGAAAGCTGCGTGTCATGAAAGCGTGGCTGAAAGAGAACGGCTGGAATAAAATTCAGGCCATGACTGCACGCTAGGTGTTGCGCTAGGCCCGCGTGACCAGGCCTCAACTGTTCTGGAAGCTCTCGGTGAGGAAGTGACTTATGAGCAACTCCTTGAGTCATTGGAGGCGAGATATGGTGACGTTCACCTGGAACACGTCTTTCGTGCGCAGCTTAAAGATCGCGTGCAGCGCATCAACGAAAACCTGCAGCAGTGGGCTCTAGAGGTGGAGAAGCTTGTGCGAAAAGCGTACCGGTCTGTACCTGCGCTCATTAAGGGAACCTGGTGCAGACATTCATCGACGGCATCCGCGACCTTGAAGTCAGAGCTGCTGTGAGGCTCGGGCACCACGAGACGCTTAAGGACAACTTGGCCCATGCACTGGAGGTGGAAGCCGTGCGGCAGGATCATCGTTCCCGTCGCTTCAAAGAGGTTGCAGCAGCTACAGTTCACAACTGCAATAATGGACACAGCTCTCGGTGCTATGGCTGTGGGGAAAGGGCCCACCTTCGATCCAGCTGCCCTAAGCGGACTGTGGAAAGGGAAGTTGATCGATCTCGAGAGGGTAGTGTAGCTAGCAGTACTGCCTGACGGCGGTAGGATCATCGTTCCCTTCACGTTAGGGAGGTTGCAGCAGTTACAGTTCGCGACCACAATAAAAATTACAGCCCAAGGTGCTATGGCTGTGGGGAAAGGGGCCATCGTCGATCCAGCTGCCCTAAGCGATCTGTAAAAAGGGGAAGGTGATCGATCCCGAGAGGGTAGCGCGGCTAACAGCACCGCCCAGTAGCAGCAATACGACTATGTGATTGAACACCGCGGCGGGAAATAGCATGGCAACGCAGATGCAAGACCTTGTAATGAAGATTTCAAACATTTTACTAGGTAAGAGAGTAAGGAAGTGGCATCCGTGAGGATTCTCAGGAAGACCACCTCAACAACCACTGGAAGGACAGCTTACCACATGCACAGCAGGAAGATCCGGACATCAAGCCGATTTTGGAATGGATGAAGACCAGTGCCCCAAACCCAAGTGGAGCGACGTCTCAGCGATGAGTGCGAACACTAAAAGCTATTGGGCCCAATGGGACAGCTTGCTGTTTCAGGACGGAGTTCTGTGCCGTAAATGGGAAAATGTTCGGGGAGACAGCTGTCATTTGCAAATGGTTGTCCCTAAAGCTAAAGTACCGGATGTTCTACAGCTGTACCATAACGATTGTTCAGAAGGTCATCTGGTAGTTAAATGAACTCTACTGAAGATCCGAGAACGGTTTTACTGGGTCCACTGTCGAAACGATGTCGAAGACTGGTGTCGCAAATGTACAAGTTGTGCGGCTGTAAATGGATCTCAGACTCGTAGTAGAGGTGTATTGAAGTTGTACAATGTTGGTGCACCATGGTAGAGAATAGCCATTGACGTGGCGGGCCCGTTTCCGGATAGTGAAAAGCGGTAACAAGTATTTCATAGTTGTGATGGATTACTTCACTAAGTGGCCAGAAGTCTTCGCCATTCCAAATCAAGAAGCTATATCAGTCGCGGATAAACTAGTTTATGAAGTCTTTTGTCGTTTTGGAGTACTTTTAGAGATTCACAGCGATCAAGGAAGAAATTTTGGGTCTCAAATATTCCAGGAAACTTGCCGAGTTATGGGTACACATAAGACAAGAACGACTTCTTATCACCCGCAATCTGATGGAATGGTAGAACGATTTAATCAGACATTGGAGAGGTACCTAGCAAAAGTTGTAGACAATCGGAAACGAGATGGGGATAAGCACATATAACCGTTTTTGTTGTCATATCGAAGCGCTGTTCACGAAAGTACAGCAGCTTTCGCAAACTTTGGAAGCGAATTACGGCTGCCTGCAGACCTGATCACTGGGATACCACCTGATACCCCACGTAGTATAACCGATTATGCAAATGACTTGCGGAACAAAATGAATGACATTTATAAGCATGTCAGACAATCGGGCCAGCAAATGTCTGAAAAGATGAAAACCCGGTATGACCGCAAAATGAACAACAAAGGGTTCGACGAAGGTTCGCTAGTGTGGTTGCACAATCCAGTCCGCAGCAAAGGGAAATCTCCTAAGCTTCAAGCTAACTGGGACGGCCCGTACCGGATTGTGACCAGGATTAACGATGTAACCTACCGGATACAGAAAGGCGCAAGAGGGACTCTAAGATCGTCCATGTGGATCGCCTGGCGCGTTATTATGGGGCTGATAATGCTCGGGACGAGCATGTCTTAGGAGGGGGCAGTGTTGCGCGGCTAAGTTGACATCTTATCTCATGGCACTAGCGCCATCTAGTGTTGGGTAACAGAGCGAGGAGAGAGCTTTCCAGAAAACGACACGACTAATTTTTAACCGACAGCGCCATCTAGTATCAAATTGAAGAACTAAACTTTCTAGAAACTCTACACTCGATCTTTCTGCGCTTGGTCGGTTGGCGCGCGTATTTACTCGAATATTCTGGAATATTCTGGATGTTTTCGTGGAAGAGCCCTATATAAAGGCGCTGCAATACGCGATCGGGGAAGTATTGGATTTGGCGAGACAAGCAAAGCTTCGGAGCGGTGAATTAGTGTGTTTAATTATTAGTGTTTTAAGTTTTAATTTGTGTAAAGTAAATTAAAGTGTTAATTTAGGTAATTTTATCGGCAATTTTTATTGTCACGAACCTCAAGCTCGTAACAATATTACAACTAGGCGTCTTAAATGCATTGAATTAGATTTTTTATTCTACGATAGTGCAATTTACCAACTAGGGATTCATCACCACATGCCACCAGTTGGGATTGCAATCAAGCACTGACTTATAATGAATAAAAAAGTAATTGCCGATTTTGAAAAGAAAGATGAATTTAATCTCAGGAGTATTAAATTAATGTGTTAAAAATATGTATTAACCCGGCAGAACCCGCTCGATGTTACGCAAGCACTCGCGTATACAGCATTTTGCTCACACTAAACAAACAGTCTTTTAAATACCTAAAACATATCATGTTTTTTTTTTTGTTATGAACATAATAATACATATTAGATTTTATGAATTAATTAATTATTGAAAGAAAAAAATTGTTTTTTCTTATACGTTTACTTTACGATATACGTTTTTTTTTACGACATTAACATTTAGGAACTTACATTTGGCAGTCTTCTCATGTAGGGTTTGGAAAAAAATAAAAAAAAATAAAAAATCAACCTAAAATTTCTTAAAACAAAATATAATATCTTAATCTTCATCATATAACCTAGACTTACACATATCACACAAAATTTTTGCATGTTCTGAACATAAATTTTTTTATAGTCAACACAAGCCTTTTTCGTTTTGCGATTTTTACGCCTTGGGCACACCGCACATAATCCAGGAGGTGTTTCAGCTTCGGAAACGTCTCTTTTGTTTGAAAATTGGGTTATAATCTGTTTAAGGGGATATGATATATTTTGAAACGAGCTTCTTCGGTTGATGTGTTCTTGGGTTAGTGTGAGACAGCTTTTTCAAATATTCCCTCCTTGTGATCAAATTATCGCAATTTCAGTGATAAATAATTTGACTATTGATACTTGCTATATTCAAAACGGAAAAAAAATTCTCATTGGCCACCTACACGCCACTCGAGCTACAGAATATTCTTCTTTCAATCTATCGACACATCTCCCCCTCCTTTGGTTTTATTGTAAAATGTAATTATTTCAGGTTTTGCGTCATCTTCAGTTTCAGGATCGATTCGGTCTTCATTATGAAGAGTACTAATCATAAGAACACTTTTTTTATTCTTTGTGTTTGGTATATAGGATACCAGAACCTTTCCCGTATGTAAACCAAAAATACTAATCTTATTTTAGTATTCAAAAACATAGGTGGAATTTCCCTTTTATTTTTGCGTATAGTGCCAACCAACGTAGTACGTTTAGTCAGCAATTCGTCGGCCAATGGAATAGATGTAAAATAATTATCTGCTGTAATATTTCTTCCAGAATTTAGAATATCTTTTGATAAACGAGTAACAACAGCAGATGGGGAATTATCATATTTGTACGGACCATTTGGATGTTTCCCTGAATAAATCTCTAAATTACTCGTATAATAATGCGCATCGCACAGTGCATACAATTTTATGCCATATTTGGCTGGTTTGTTAGCAATATACATTGGGAATTTGCAACGACCCCGGAACGATTCTAACATTTCATCTATGGTTACATTTTCTCCAACCTGATAGTTAGCCCGACACTTTTCGACAAATAAATCAAATATTTCACGAATTGGTGAAATATTGTCACACTCAGATCTCTCCTGACGAGTCTGTACATCATCAATCGATCGAATGCATCTCATCAAAAACATAAATCGGTTGCGATTCATGACAGCTCGATATATATCAGGAGCGGTACCATCTGTCTCTCACATTTCTTTTAAATTTAGGTGATTCATTTTTTTTATACCAGCCATGTACAAGAGCCCAATAAATGCTTTTATCTCTATGATATCCGTCTCTTTACAGTCTCTGTCTCTTGCATAACGGTCCATGATTTTTTTAATGTAATTATATGTGTAAAAAACAATTTTAGTAAGCATGTCCTCACTTACAAAAAGGAGAAAACATTCAATAATATGTTTAGCGCCTTTGGCTACTGGTTTTACCCCTGGTCTACTATGTTATGTGACCTTGTTCTTATATTCGTACGTTGTGGACGATAATTCCACTTGGTCATTTTATCCTTGCCTAAGTAATATGTACCGCGCTCGGATTGACTTGAATAATTCTCACCTTCATCTTCGCATGATGACTGTTCCGTGTCGGTGAAATTTTCACTGTGATCACTATCTCCGTCACTCTCTGCTTTTTCAATCCTACTATCTGGGGCCTCTATTTCCTCCGTACCTTCTTCCATCAGCCACGCCACAATTTGTTGCTCCCTTTTATCCATCTACAATAAACGTAGATCTAATTTTATTATTTTAAATTATAGTTTATACACAAACCATGACTGTTAATTTTAAAAAAAATGACATAAAACGTAGAATATAAAAATATTAAACATTTGAAAAAAAAAAACTTACTCACAAAAACAATACTTACATCGATACTCGCGCGAAGAGCGAAACCCCGCGCGTTGGGTGGGTGATTCGAACAAACCTCCCTCTATGACTGACTGGAGCACACTAACCCAAGGACAACGTATGTTGCGGGACGGAGAGGGAATAAAACTCAGCTGCACGGCGCAAGAGACTGTCAGGTAGGTTTTTGACAGACTGGCGCCATTTTTAAATTTACCGTGAGCAAAATGCTCATAGCGCGAGTTATCGCGGGTTAAAGAGTCTTTGCAATGTAATAGTTTAATTTATTTTAAGTGTATATGTAATAAGTAAATGATGCCTTATTTGTGTTATATGCGTAGTAATAAAAATATCAAAACTGCGATGTAACTTTAATTTTCATCCTCTAACTTGGCTCAAACAAACATAAAGAAGGTATCCTCACCAGATATCAGCCAAGAGGTAATTGCATTTATGATAAAGAAGGTACAATTTTCCGACTATAAATGGGTGTAAGCCCAAAATATGCATAAGCAATTTCCTAATAAGAGCGTATAAGAAAGCACTCGTTTTAAAGATTTTGATTAAATAGTACCCCTAAATTACATTTAGATACAAATTACATACTGATGAATAATATTTTTTTATCTTATTGACATAATAGAAAAAATTTTACTGGTTATTTGTATAAAAAATCATGAGTGCAATTAGTTTAATTAAAATTTTTGTATTTTTATAAAATAATAAAAAAAGTGCTGGAAATAATAGATTTTCTCACAAAAGAAGGGAACTTGAAAAAAAAAAAAGGAAAAAAAGTCGGACCTAAGACGGGACGCGCCCAAGGCATTAGGATTTTGCGACCGCTCGCTATCCACTTGAGCTATTACGATCATTAACACATTGTCAAAATTTACCTTCTTATATTATAGCAGTTTTTTTATTGCCTGAAAACACGGACAAAAGGACATTTTCTAAAAATAAATCCTAGCTAGATCGATTTATTGTCCTCGAAACTCCCTGGACACTAAATTTCATGAAAATCGTTGGAGCCGTTTCCGAGATTCCGATTTATATATATATATATATATATATATATATATATATATATATATATATATATATATATATATATATATATATATATATATATATATATATATTTAAAAATATATATTTAAAAATACAAGAATTGCTCGTTTAAAGGTATAGGATTATAACGGACATTTTTGCCAATCTTGTTAGACTCGTTAGCAAATAAGGTACTACAAAACGATCTCTTACTAGGTGAAATGACATGATAGGTTCTCGTAAACAGTAGTAAAGTTAGCAAAAAAACATTGTTGGGAAGTTTGCATTTTTTATTGTTTTTGTATTTGTTAATAGAATTAAATTGACAAACGCGTTACAGGCCACTTGACGTTAAGTGCCTGCTGTGGTCCCTGTACACTTGCAGCCTATGAGGACTGCAGTTTGACGACAGAAATATGTAAGGGCCCCCAGTGCCTAGTAGTGGAACCTATATAGGTTCTAGCTTTTTCACCTTAATCATCGTTACTCAGATCTGAGTTTAATCCACTAATGAACTCAAGCAGCCTTTAACAATTAGACTTATTTTTAATAAAATACAGGTACAGGAAGACAAAAATGGACTATTATGAATGTTGCCCTAGTAAAATTCTCCAAATCCGAGAATAAATCTGAGTTATACATTGTAAATTATTTATATATTTTTCTTTCTTCTTCTTCTAGGTTCGTAAGTGCACGTTATTGTGTACAGACGTGTCATATAGTAATTAAAATAATTAAATAAGTATGTGCTTAGCCGTGACCTCGTTATAACAATACCGGAAGTAACTGTGACATACTTTAGTTATATTTGTGTTAGTGATTTTGTTGAAATGTTTTAGCTTTATCTAGAATAGGTACTAAAATGGAGAACAGTCCCTTTAACCGGAGTGCCAGGACCACTCCCACCTCGCCTCCATCAACCCCGCCCATGTAGACACCCACTTCAAGCGAACCAATTAAAACACTTCCAACTCCTGAGTTGCAGCATTGGATGACAAGCATTGACCTGTGCCTTAACGAGGTGTGCTCCATCGCAACAGAGGGAAAACTTAACTTTTATCAAAAAATCGGTACATCACAACTGGTAGTCTAGTACATGTCCCTCAAAATGGATGACACTAAAGCCCAGACCTCCATCATATCTCTGCAGAAACAACTTGACCTGTCCCAAAAGCTGCAGGAACTCAAGAATAGTATCGAAGAGTCATCAAAACCGGACTCTGGAACCACTTTTGCGGACATGGTCAAAAAAGGTGGCCAAACCCTCATTCGCCCAAACAAACTTAGTACCCTAGCAATTTATCCGAGGGACAAGTCCAAATCCATCCACACGAAGTGCCTCTTACAAAGAATAATATCCCCAGAAGAACTCAAACTACATGTCCGAGGCTTGAGGAAGGTCAAAAATGGGGGAGTTATAATTAGCGCTGAGACAAAAGGAGATATCGACAAATTAAAGAACTCCGAGAAGCTTGTATCTTCTGGCCTTACCATGGAAGAACCGACTAAACGACGTTCAAGGATTGCAATTGTTGGTGTCCCTGTAGCCCTCACGGATAAAGAAGTGTTCGAGTGCATTTTCGAACAAAATATTGCCGATAAATTTCCCAATGCCACGCGTGAGTCCTTCCTGGCAACAGTCAAACTGAGCCATAAACCAGGTAAGAAAACCCTTCCTACCTGTAATTACATTGTCGAAGTGTCACCTAGCATCAGAAAGGCCCTTATCAATCAAGGACGAATTTATATTAATTGGACCTCATGCCTAGTCAGAGACTTTACAATAGTAACAAGATGCTTCAACTGCCATCAGTTTGGTCATTCAGCCAAATTTTGTCGGGGAAAGTAGCCCTACATGTAACTACTGTGGAGAGCTCGGGCATTCCTTTAAGGAATGTAATAATAAAGCGCATGCCCCCGTTTGCGCGACGTGTAAACGTTTTAAAAGAAAATGCGACCACAAAACTGGTGATGAAAGCTGTCCAGCATGTAAATTCGCAGAGGAAAAATATATCAACTCCATAGACTATGAGGACGCCTAAGAGCGCCGCGTATTTTATTATTTACTGAGCTCTTAAACACTAGTTTTAGTTTATCTTTAAGCTTAAGTATGGCGAATCAATTACTCAATGACCTAGACAACTTTTCTGTGTCTGACGCCAAAACATGTAATATTGATGACTGGAAACACTTCCTTCCACGTCCTGAAAATAATTTAATCTTACTTACACAAAATATTAGAAGCCTAAATCGGAATATAACCGGGTTTGAAGTTTTGTTGCATAGACTGGATATAAAATGTGATATTATTATCCTTACAGAATGTTGGCTGTCAAATCTCCCATCCCACCTACCGATTCTAAATGGCTATTCTTTACACAAAAGCGAGAAAAACATTAATCAAAATGACGGTTTAGTAATCTATGTTAAAAATAATTTAAAAGTAACTGTCACAGAACCTACATTCCAGGATAGTAATTGCTTAATCATTCGAATTAATTCCGAGACGATTGTTATCGCAGTTTACAGACCTCCTTCACAAAACATTGATAGATTTCTAGAGTCCCTTGATATTACCTTAAGCAAATTTAGCACATATAAAAATATAATCCTAACCGGTGACAGAAATATTGTTACGCGCTCAAGTCGACGGCACTAGCGCCATCTAGTCTCGAACCGAAGAACTAAACTTCTTGAAGTTTAAAACTCGAACTCTCGGTACTCTGCGCGTGTTTACTTGAACATTCTGGATATTTCTTTGCTAATTTATTTAAATAGGCGCTGCAAGATGCGATCGAGGTAGTATTGGATTTGGCGAGACAAGCGAAGCTTCGGAGCGGAATAAAGTGAATTAGTGTGTTTAATTATTAGTGTTTTAAGTTTTAATTTGTGTAAAGTAAATTAAAGTGTTAATTTAGGTAATTTTATCGGCAATTTTTATTGTCACGAACCTCAAGCTCGTAACAATATTAACATTACCCCTGGGATATATATAACAGATAACCATGCACATAACTACCTAAATATTTGCTCTTTTCATGGGCTATTACCAACACATTACCACCCTATACATCAAAGCGGCTCTTGTTTAGACCATTTTGTGATTAAATCAAATAACCCTTCTTTAATATTAGTTACTAATTCCTCGCTTACTGATCATCAAGCAATTTTACTAACATTACAATTAGCCTTACCTAGGAAAAACTGCATACGCAACTACACTAAAGTCCATATGACGAACCTCGAAAATGACATTCGTAGCATTAATTTTGACTTTGTTTATTGCTCTGATGATGCAAATACGTCCTTGAGTTACTTTATAAATTCTTTACAATACGCAATAATTAATAATACATGAACAATAAAACTGTCACGTAAGTATTATAATATTAAACCTTGGATAACACCTGGTCTCGTCCGCTGTATAAGAAATAGAGACAAACTTCATTTAAAATCTAAACTTTCTCCTGATAATTTAATACTTTCTGCTACTTATAAAAGATATAGGAATTATTGCAATAAACTATTAAAAAACCTCAAAATACAATGTGATAAAAATGTTTTACAAAAGGCCCGTAAAAACAGTAAACTTGTATGGAAGTTCATTAAAAATAATACCTTCAGTTCAAAAAATCTTGGACCACCAATTGATCTACTGTCATTAGACAAAAGCCCAAACGAAGCAACTAATAAAGTAAATAATTATATTATTAATGTTGGCAAAAAATAGCAGAGACAACTTTAAAATTAAGCAACACTCGTAATCCAATTTTTATACCCACATCCTTTTCTAAGTTAAATTCTTTTGTATTGTTAAATACCG